TGAGGGCCCCAGGCAGCTGACAGGGCCGGGCCTGGAGCCAGTGCACACCTGTCCCTGCCTTCCCTGTGACCTGTGTGGGAGGAGCGAAGGTACAGCAGAGCAATCCGGTGTGCGCTGAAGCATGGCCACTGCCCTGGGACATTCTCGCAAGGGCTTGCTCCCCACAAGGTTTGCTATGTTCCACTTGTCACACTGGAGACTTTTCAAGGAGGCAGTCAGTATTGTTGCAGATGAGAGACCTTTGTGCTGAAGGAACAGAGGCTTTCCCCAGACATTCCGCACACACGGAAGGGAGAAGTCAGAGTCCCAGTGAGCTGGCCTTGGGGCAAAACTGAGAATCCATTGAGAATCAAATCTTGCGCTGTTAGCGCAGTAGACTCTAACAAGCAGGGGTCTACCCAGTTGCAGTGTTTGCACATATGTGTGTGTGCACACTTACTCTGGCACAGAGTAAACACTTGGAAACTGTGAACACCTGCTGAACTCCTCCATTTATCATGCTCATCCATCCAGGGTGGTTGCTAGGCTTGGCCTCTGTGGCCCTTTCCCAAGGAGGCCTTTGTGTCCTAGTGCCTGGAAGGACAATTGGAGGCAACAGAGCATAGGTGTCATCCTGTCAAGCACATGCTGAGCTCCTAGCAGGCACAGGAAGTGAAACTGTTCCCAAAGCCCCCATTTGGCTGTCCCTTGCCCTCCTGGTGGGAGGTGTGGTGGTCTGCATGGATCCTGCTGGGCAGAACAGGGCCTGGGGAGGGTGCGGAAGGTCCTTTCCTCCCTTTTTTTCTTCCTTTCTTTGTATTCCTGTGTGTTTCCCACCCACACAGAGAACTTTCTAGGTGCTTCTTGGAGGTGCTGATCCTGAATTTGAACCTGGGTTTCCTGATCTTTTGCAAGCTGCCTCCTTGGATAACAGAGTGCATCCCACACATTCCATGGTGTGGCTGGAGTAACTTGGGCCGGCCCAGCCTCTTCTTCCACTTCCTCTTCCCACACCTCACGGCTCATCAGGCTGGGCTTCTCCTGTACTTTGTCCTTGCTTGGCTTCTCCATGCTTCCTTCCCTGCTGGAAACTCTTGCTTACGTCCCCTCCCTTCACAAGCCTCAGCTCCCTGGCTGCCCCTGCTGGCCTCATCCTTCTTTCCCCTGAGGGATGAGGGACATCCTGTTGTTGCCCTTCTGTGTAGGTGTGTTGTCATCTATGCCTGGCTGGACTTACAGAGAGCTGTGAATGGTGTCCCCAAGGCCAGGGTGAATGGTGTCCCTAGGGTTCCACACAAAGAGCTCTCAGCAGTGACTTTGTCCTGATAGTGTTTCCAGAATCATTGTCCCTGGAGGTGAGCTGGTGGGAAGGTGACCTCTGGGTTCATTATCTGCACTGATGTTGGGCCAGGGATTTAGCTCAGAGGTGCTGCGCCTGCCTTACAAGTGCAAGGTCCAGAATTCAGTCCCTGGTACATATGTATCTAAAGCTAGGCTTACTCTACTGCTTGTTGGATTTGGAACGATAAAAACTCTTAAGTTGGAGGTGGAACTGGCACTACAAAGCAGAACTTTAAAAGTTAGATTTTTCCTTTTAGAGATAAGCAACTTCTCCAGACTTCCTCCTGCTGAGCACATAGCTAACCCTTGGCCCAAGCCCAGAGGTAGTGATGGAAGATGTGATAAAATAAGTGCGGAGATCTGCACTCCTCTCTGCACCCCCTCCCGTCTGTTCCTTACTATAAAGACCTTTGCCCACCGGCACACGGAGAGATGGTAATTTGAGGTAAATGGGCACCTCCATCTCCTTGGAACTAGCACTAACCTGAGCATAGGAACCTGAGTGGCAGGTAGCACAGGGACTTCTGCTGATGAGCCAGCATCCTGGTGCCTGTAAGCTTACTCATTCATTCTCCTGCAACTCTTCCTAAGGTAAGATCCCCATGTTAATGTTGATCAAAACACCTTGTCTATTTTTCCATGGCCCTCATAACATGCAACAGTCATTTATCACTTGGGTGTCTGTCCTTCCCTGCTTCATTAGGGTGCAGACTCTTTGGGGACAAAAGTCCGGTCTTGCTCCAGTACCTCCAGAGTCCAAGGCAGTGCCTGTCTAGTGTGTGTGGAATAAATGAATGACCACATCTTCACAGTGCTGCATGTGTGTCATATTTTGGGCTGGGGACAGGTGGCACAGAAGAGAGGAGACGTAGCTTTTGTCAATAGGTCCTGCGTGAATGGGGATAGGAGGCTAGAGTTACAGTGCAGTGATAGGTGGGGATGTAGCAGAATGTGGGGCTGACATGGACTTGAAGACTACACAGCTCTTCCTAGAGAACTTCCTGTGCAGCCTGCCGGATAGTCCCGGCTTCTGGCTCTGCCCATTCCCATCTCTGTGTTGTTCTGGAGTGGCAGGGGAGAGGAAGGCTTTGGGGTGGCCTTGCCCGATGACCTCTGAGAGGTACAGCATTGGGAGCTTGGGCTCCCTGGCAGTGTGGCTCACTCTGAAGAAGCCGCTTAGGGGAGGCCTGTGGCAGCTGTTCTGAGAGCTGTGCTGTGTCTGTTATAGTAGTAGGAGACTGGAGAGAAGGACACAGGCCTTGGCTCCTGAGAGGAGGAAGACAACGAGCTTCTGGATGCCTCTTCTAACTCTTGAGTGCTCCTGAGCTGGTACCTTTGGAGGTGGATACTGGGGAGGGAGGGTGACAGCCAGCCTGGGTTCTTCTTCCCTCCCTCCCTTCTCCTCTTTTGCTTTTTTGGTCTAGTACTTTCTATTTCATTCAGGACACTGTTCAAGTCACTGGAAATATGATGTTGAGAAAAGTAGCCAAAGGCTGTGGTCTCACAGAGCTACATTCTAGCAGGGCTAGGGATGGGCAGTAGATAATATAAGAGATGATCAAAAATTAGGATGAACATTTGCATTGAAAAAACTTATAGTAAAAGACACATATACAACAGGACACATATGTGTAAATACCGAGTAGTTTCTCTAGTGTGAGAAACTGAAAGTGTAAATAAGGATACACATGGATGAAATGGCCTAAAAACATATTTCTTGGATTGTGTTTCCATCGCGTGTCATATGACTGTATCGAAATTTAAATTAGGGAGAAGTTTGGCTTATGTGGAGTCTGCTAGCTAACTAGTTTTTTTTCCAGATCACTATTTGTTCAGTGTTGGTTTTGGGGATCTTTCTGAAACAAATCCTCTGGTGTCTTGTTGGTGCTTGAGATGCTTTTTTAAGTTATATGGAAAAATGTTTAAGTGCTTTTCAGTTTTGTTTTGGTTGATTTGTACTGTATTTGAATATTATTGTACGTTTTTTTCCCTTGCATTGTTCTTCTTTGAATGGTTTTAGTTTTTGTATGTGTGTGTGTGTTTGATAATAAAGTTATTTTTTAAAAAAAGACACATTGCCAAGACCAATGGGGTAGGTGTGTTCAAATCAAGGATGGGTATTTTGAGGGGGACTAAGGGCAATGTGTCTTTTACTGAACTGAGTTTTAAAAATTTAAAAATTTTCCATGTTTTTTGATTACCTTTCATTCATCAAAATTTATGGCAATTTCTGTCAAATAAAAACATTATGGGATGCATCTTCATCCACTTTATTTACCAGATCTGCCACTGTGGAAATTTATCTCTTCCTCAAAGTCAAAATGACCCTGGGAGGTAAACATACGGAATGGAGTCAGGACATTGAGGCAGCCACTGCACATCAACTAACGACACTCATGAAAGAGCTTCAGAAACTTTCCAGAACTGCTTCAGAAAGTGGCAAGAATGGTGGCATAATTGTGCTGCAAGTGAGGGAGAGAATTTTGAGGGAAATTAATGACATGTGTGTGTTTTTTTCTGTATAAATTAAAGAAAAGTCAATATTCACCTTATTTTTCTATCATGTCTCATATAAGACAGCACAGACAAGGACTGTGGAGAAGGGTGGCAAAAGCAGTGAAGAATAAAGCAGATAAAGAGAAGGGTGATGGGAGTAGGTGTGGGCTGCTTGACAGAGGGAATCAGGGTGGGCTCCCTGGCCAGGGAGCATTTGAATGGGAGCCCGTGTGAAGACAGGGAGGCCCGTGGTCCCCAGACAAGGTGTGCGACTCTGCTGAATGGAGGTGCTGTGCTCTAGGCAGGTGTCTGGTCTAGCAGGGAGAACAGGGCTGACGACAATCTCCTGTCTATGAGTGATAGAGAATTCTATCATAGTAGGGACAAAACTTAGAATAATAGAGCCAAGGATGGTGGTATACACATGGAATCCCAGAACTCTGGGAGGCTGAGGCAGGGGGATCCCAGGTTCAAGCCCAGCCTGGGAAATTTAGTGACAAAAGAGTAATTACATTTTATTTTTCACATCTGAATCACATAGTTTGCAAATGAAGCATTTGTACCTAGTACCCTACTGCCGAGTGGACAAAGTATAGATAGGCAGAGTTCTCTGGGAGATTTTCCAGCTAAAAGTCTGTGGTCAGTTCTTGTGTCCTCTGAACACAGAAAATGTGGTCGGTGTTTCTCTGGGGGAAAAAAGGAGGAGAAATTCCTTAGTTTAAAAGCCTCATTGTTCTGGGATGCTGGGATGTTGGTCTCCTCCTTGCTTCTCTATAAATAATGCAGTTACTATTGACACCTTGTTTGTCACCAACGTCCTGCTCTGTCCTTGCCTTCGACATTCCCTGTACAGGTCCCTGTGTGGTGCACTGTGAACATTTCCATTCTTACAGGCATCTCCAAGCCTGGTGTTTTGGAACATGGCCAGAAGAAGTTTCTGGGTTAGAGCAGAGTGTGGGTTAGAGACCAGATGAAGTGTAAACCAGAGAATTTAGAACCAGATGGACTGTGGCTCTGTGGCTTTTGGGCAGTGTGACCTCTGTAAAGTTCCTTTACCTTTCTAAACTTTTGGTTAATCTCTGAAAATGGGCATCACATCTACTTTTAGAGAGATAGTAAAGTAAAATGAGGTAGTATATTAATGTACTAGAGCTGCCATAACAGAATACCACCAAGCGCGGGACTTAAACAATGAAAATTTATTTTCTCATAATTCTGGGGGCTGGATGTCCAAGAATCAAAGTGTCAGCAGGTTTGGTGTCTTCTGAGGTCTCTCTTCTGGACTTGCATATGTCTGTCTCACCGCCGTGTCCTCGCATGGCTCCCCTTTGTGTTGTCTGTGTCCTCATCTCCTTTCCTTATAAAGGTACCTGTCGTACCAGAGCAGGCCCTTATGACCTGTATTACTTTAAATTGCCCTTTTAAGCTCACATCTCCAAATCCAGTCTCAGGTTGTGGGTGTCAGGGCTCCAGTATCCACCTTTGGAGGAGACACAGTTCAGCCTCTAGCAGGTTGCGTACGATAAGGTTCAGCCCATGGTTGGTACTCCATCAATGTTAGTTCCCCTTACTCGTTCTTTGGGTCACAGAGTGTGACTCAAATTATTAATAACATCTACTCTAAAGAGCAAATGGCTTTGAGGCAGTACAATGAACATGAGGTTTAACAGGACCAGGAAATTTAATTCTGCTGCCTCTTTCTAGATGTTTGAAATTGGACCAAACTCATCATTTGTGATTGACTTCTGACAGAAACTAGCCAATGTGGTATCTATACAAATCATAACAAAGATCCAAAAGTGCCTAGGACATTGCTTAACTTCAGTTAGGTGCTTCATAAGTGTTTTGTAATTGGCATAGAAACTTTTGGTGAAGTGTACAGTGTTGTGTAAATTTAAGATATTTCTCTTCGGCTTCCTTGGCCTCTTTGTGAAGCAGATCCCACCAAACCCTCAGTCTCTCTAACCTGTGCTTTTGGCAACCAGATGTGCTTCAGAGGCCCCCGTGTGTGGCTGGAGATTTTTGGAAGCAGAGCCAGATCAGTGGGTCACAGGCTCCCATCTCCATGTTTGACAAATGGATAGGGCAGGTACCTGTCATCGTGTCTGAGAAGTGGTTGGAGCTCCATTAGTATTGGCCAAATGGTTATTGGATTCCTCCTGCTCCTGGTCCCCTATGAAAGCAGTAGGAATCAGTCTTCAGGTATCCATAGCTCCCAGAACCTTCTCCATCTCCATAGAGACACTGTCTCAGAGAGTGCAACAGGGAGGTTCCATGGAAGAGAGGGATTCCAATTTGTGCGTTTCAGCAAGAAACCAAGGGGAAGAAGTTGACCTGTATTTCTTGATGATTTTATTTTTTTCAGAGCTGGCTTTTGCCTGCTATTTTTGTTTTCTTTATCCCTTGAGGCCTTACCCATCCAAATGTTCTTGTCATTGAAACCCAAAATGTGAGTGGAAAGGCTGCTTTGGGTCCACTGGGGATTGCCTGCCTTCTGTGGATGAAAGACCAGAGTGAAGACTAAATCACCAAATTCACTTCTCCTGCTTGGAAAGATTGGCATGTAGATTCTGTGGGCAAAGGCATTTTGAAGGCTAGGATTGAACAGTCCTGTTCATGGAGATTTTCTGCTGCAGTCAGCAGAGATGCATTTTGGTTCCTAGGACTTTGGGAATGCCCAGCGATGTCAAAAGGAGAATGATCGCTCTGAATATTTCCCTCAAAGGAAAATTTGGCTATGTGTGGTGTCCTAATATAGCTCTTTGTTTTTATTTTTAGAAAACCCCATTTAGTTACAGTGATTCCTCTTCAGTGGTCAATACTGAGAGTAGCAGTCCTTCTGAGTAGAGAGCTAATTATTTGATTACAGTTTTTGCTAGCACAGTGAAAGCGATTGTTTCTCCAGAATGTTAGTTTGAATGAGGTGACATTTACATGCTGATACAAGGTACCCAAAAAGTAAATGATGCCTGGTATTGTTTCCTGACACATGTGGTATTTATGGATTATTGCTGTGGATGAATGGCCCTGCTTTTCCTCTGAAAACAGGGTAACAGGCACTTTATTCATGTATTGATTATAAAGAACAGGCACTTTATTCATGTACTGATTATAACCAGATAGCAATGATAGCTACACAAGAGGATATGTTATGGTTCTATTTTTTATTTTTATTTATTTTTTTATTTATGTTTGGTACTGGGGATTAAACTCAAGACCTTGTGCTTGAGAGGCAGGCACAGCGCCACTGAGCCAAATCCCCAGCCCTATTTTTATTTTTAAGATAAGATCCTCCTGCATCAGCCTCTCAGAACTCTGGGATCACAGATGTGCATCACCGTGACTGGCTATGTTGTGATTTTTATTTGCCCATGATGAAAGATAATAATAGTTGCTATCTTGCTTCTGATATATTTATTTCCCATAACTACTCAATGAGGTGAGTTGCATTACTATTCTAATTATACAGGTGAGGAAGTAGGCTCATGTTGTGTTAATAGTTTGCCTAGGGCTGAGGATTTAGCTCAGTGTTTCTGGCTGCTTGCCTTGAAATCACAAGGTCCCAAGTTCCATCCCCGGTACCAAAAAAACCCCAAAAACCAAACCCCCCCCCCCAAAAATAGTTTGCCTAAATTCCCACAGCTACTGCATGGCAGAATGGAAGAGATTCCAACCCAGGTATACTTTGACTAAAACTTTTGCTCCTGTATCACTCTCTTGCCTTTCGGTTTAGGGGCTCTCTTATCAGAGCGTCTATATAGTAGTTCTCAAAGTGTGATTCCCCAGGTCAGCAATATTGTTATTGTATCACATTATTATTTTATTAGTATCACCTGAGGCTTAGACATGCAAATTCTCAGGCTGCCCCAAATTGTCCAATTGGAAATTCTGGGGATCCGACCTTGAGTATCGAAGTGCCGGGAGAGTTTAGGCTCATCAACATCCCAAACAGCCCCTGACGCGCACCTCCGGAGGCTGGGGTGTCACTGCCTCACAGGGCAACTTTGCTCTGCTCTGCTAGGTTTACTCCACCAATGACCAGGAAGTCCTTCCCCCATTGGAAGATGACTTGCTCCCTTCAGTGCACTCCAGCTGGCCCCAGTCCTTCCCTTTGTTCATCAACAGGACATCTGGGCACAGCTATTGGAACTCACATGATCAAGTGCAGGAAATTGCCTGGGGCTTAAGAAGGGCTTCTCTGATGAAACAGCCTTGTCTGAATGCCAGCTGCCTTTTTGGTATATTTGTTACAGGTAATCCTTTGCCCCACAGTAGGACAGAAGGGGAACATTTTTGAAAAGGAGAAAAAAAAGAAAAAGGAGCCAGAGTTTAAGGATCTATGATTTCTTTAGAAACTGACATTTCTGCCTGGGGCTGGAATGTATTCTGTTTACTGTAACATCACAGATCTGGTATGAAATCTCTGCTAAGGAACCACAGGGAACACTGAAGCTGGAATGAGTTTGGCCAGCAGGGTGGGCTTGGCTGGTTAAAGATGAGGAGCATCTAGATGCTTGTAGGACTCAGCTAGGAGAATGACTAATTGTGGGGGACTCTTACGTTTTCTGTTGACTTGGGTGCCCTAGAAAACAGAAATGACTCCTGTGTAGACATCACCTTAGGGAGAGAGGAAGGAGTGAAGAGATTTAAGACAGGGAAGATAGCACAACAGAGCCTACAGGTTTGCTTGGTTCTGCTGGACTGACTAACATTGGACAGTTCTACTGCGAAGACAACAGCCAACTGCCCACTGGCTTTCATCTCAAAGAAGCCATGTGATCAAAAAAATAAGATGAATATTTAAATTTAAAAATAAAAATCATTATGGTAAAAGACACATTACCCTTAATCCCCCTCAAAATATTCCCCCTTGTTTTGTACACACTCATCATTTTTGCCACTTTCTTAAGTTGTCTTTCATGAATGTCTTTTTGTGGCTACCTCAATATCCTGAATCAACTCAAAATGTTTATGGCAATTTATGACAAATAAAAACGTCACAGTACATCCTCATCTACCTTATTCACTGGACCTGGCACTGTGCCATTTCCCCAAAGTCCAAACGGCTATGAAAGGTAAATGCTTTGAATCAATTCAGGACATTGAGGCAGCCACAACAATACAGTTTAAGACACCTCATGGCAGAGGAGACTTTCACAACTGCTTCAGAAAGTGGCAGGAACGATGGATAAGGGTGTTTGAAGGAAGGGGGAGTATGTTCTTTTTCCGTTAAGTTTATTGGTACATGTTAGGTGTACAATGCAGTGACATTCATCATTGGGATCTTGTACCTGTACATGATGTATTTCAGTTCTTATTTTTCCCCCTTCCCCTGCCCTCCCTTCAGCCCCTCCACCCTTCCCTTTTTACAAAGACTTTGTTTCCATTTTTTCCTTTTCTCATATTTTTTCCTTTCCCTTCTTTCCTTTCTCCTTCCCTTCCCACTTCCCCTTTTCCTTTAGACCTTTTCTTCCTATTTCACATTATCAATTATACATTTTGATCCTTATTTATACTTTCAGTTTCTCACACCAGAGAAACTATTTGGTATTTACACATGTGTGTCCTATTTATCTCATTTATGGCCTCAATGTGCATCCATTTAGCTATAAATGTCTCTAGTTTCTCATTCTTTACGGCTGAGTAGTACTCCATTTTATAAAAAAAATACATCTTTATCCAGTCTCCAGTTGATGGGCAACTGGGCTGTTTCCAAGTTTTAGCTGTTACAAACTGTGCCGTTATAAACATGGGTACACATATATTGCTGTGGTAGGATGCTTTTAATTCTTTGGGAAGATACCCAGCAGAGGAATAGCTGGGTAAAACGGGACCTTTAATCCTAGTTTTTTGAGGTATCACCCTATTGATTTCCACAATGGTCGCACCAGTCTGCACTCCCACCCAACAACGGAGAAGGGTTCCTTTCTCCTCACAATCCACCAGCATTTGTTGTTGGTTGATTTCTTGATAGCAGCCATTCTTTCTGGGGTGGGGTGGAATCTCAGTGTAGTTTTCATCTGCATCTTTTGAATGACCAGTGATGTTG